GTAGGGAAAAAGGAGACATTCTACTTCTAGTATATATTTGGTTGGTTCTGCTCTACAGAGATCTTAATTCTGATTGCTTTTTTTTTTTTATTGCTATACGTGGGCCTCTCCCTGTCGTGGCCTCTCCTGTTGCGGAGCACAGGCTCCGGACGCGCAGGCTCAGCGGCCATGGCTCACGGGCCCAGCCGCTCTGCGGCATGTGGGATCATCCCAGACCGGGGCACGAACCCACGTCCCCTGCATCGGCAGGCGGACTCTCAACCACTGCACCACCAGGGAAGCCCCTGATTGCTTTTTAATCCAGTTTTCGTAGAGGGTCATTTAGAGATGTCTAAGGACTTTTGGAGTTAAATCCCAGAAATACTTATTCCCTTTAAATTAATTGTTAGCATTTTGTTTTTCTACTATTAAACTTGAAATAATTTTATTTGTAAATATTGTCATAAGGTAGAGAGTTAAATCAAGCCTTCTTTTCTGGTGTGCAATTAATAATGATTATGAAATTTTTACCTCTGAATGGAATTAATCCAAACTTCCCTGTTGAAAGCTACACAAAGTCTACCTGTTTCTAACAATGGGTTTCTGTTCCTTAACATCTTTATTCCAAGTATGCAGAACATTTAGTTTTGTAAGGCTGACCCATACCATTATTTCTTTTTTGATCTGGATCTATGGCATTGCACCATAAAACCGTATTAAAGAACTGTTTGGGAATAATTTATTGAAGCGGTCATAATTGTTTAAAAGAAATATTGGAGTGTACTGAAGGTTCAAATGTAATCAATTGTTACTTTATTTTGAAGTATTATGTAATAACATTGTCGCTATGTTTTCAGATTAGGATTGAGTTAGGCTCTTTTGGTCCTTACTGTAGGCATGAATTTTTCATACATTTTCATATATTTCCAAGAGGTCTGACTGATGATAGGACTTGGACCATTACATTGATGTTAAATATTAATTTAAATCTGGTAAGATGGGAAGGTATATTGTGTGCCTCTTTTTGAAATAGAAAATATCAGTTTCTTTCATTGTAGCCACTGCATAGAGAAAAATTCTTGTAATTTTGAGAGTAGGTGAATTTACTAAAACACAGTTTAGCTTTTCAGAGGAATAAAAATTAAATAAAAATCTCAGAGAAAGCTTCTGTACAAATTGTAGGTATAAACAGTTTGATGTTTCTTCTTTCTTTAGAATAATGATTTTTATTGTTTGGGTAGAAATGAAACATTGATCATTAAAAAAAATTTAAACAGTAACTAAGAAAATACAAAGAAGAAAGTTAAAAAAAATGTTGTCCTATATCTCACTACTGTAAAATACAAGCAGGTAAATTTTATTCCAAGGATTTCTCCGTGCCAGGGCTACTTGCTGTGGTATGTTGAATGAGAGCATCAGCCTCAGCTGGTAGCTTGGGAAAAATACAGATTCTTGGGCCTCATCTGAGCTCTATGGAATCAGAATCTCTAAGGGTGGGACCCAGCAGTCTGTTTTAATAAGCCCCCCAGGTGATTCTTACACATGCATAAGTTTGGGAAACCCCACTCCATGTGTAAATATGCAGAAGTAATTTTATAAAATAGGATCACATTCTTTGTGCTATTCTAAATAATTATTAATGTAGTTCTACTTGAACCTAAAAGAAGAGAACTTGAAAGAAGTGAAAGAATTGCTGAATGTCAGATAAATGCTTCTTCACTGTAAGAGATATGAGTTAAGGAAAAAAAATTATAAAGAACATAAATTGGACAAGTTATTTTTTAAATTACATGTTTAAATTTTCAGGGTAGTACCTATTGACTCTCTGGCATAAAGGATGAGGGAATTAAAACACTTCCGCCTTCTCCCATTTGGTTTTGGTTCATTGTATTCTTTGCTATGTTGTCAAGGTTTCTAACACTTATATTCTGTCATACTTTGTTTAGTCCTGTGTTTAAACTGTTTTACCAGCACTATGGCTCCTCCATTCCTGAGTTGATCAATCTCTTGATTGACTGAATTTCACGGTCAGGTAATCTTTTCAAGCTTTCAGTGCTGTATTCCTTTAGATCTTGCATACTTCATTGCTTGAGAATGCTTGTCTTTTTTTTTTTTATATATACTTGAAGGATTACTTGGCTAGGTATAAAATTTTCATATCACAATTTCTTTCCTTCAGAACTTTGAAAATGTTGCATCATGATCTCTTAGTATTTTTGATTGGCTGGATTTCCTCTTGCAGTATTTTTCTCTTTTCATCGGGAAGGATTTGTGAGTGCTTTACTCTTTGAGTTTCAATGCTGTTGTTTCCTTTAGTGTTTGAGAATGTCTGCCTGTGGTTTTCATTCTTGAAAAACAACTTGGCAGGAGGTAATATCCTCAGAGAACACTTTCTTTAGAACTTTGTGGTCATTTTATTATATTGGAGCAATGAATTTTACTGTAGAAAAATCTGATTTTTTTCCTGCCTCCTTGAAAGTGACTTGCTTTTTCATCTAAACTGCCTGAAGAAAATTTTCTTTATTTTTAAAGTTCAGTAATATAACCAAGATACATCTAGGTGTCATTCATAATCATGTTTTCCTGGATTACAATATACTCTTTAGTCTGTAGGGTTAGTGCTTCATTTAGGGATATTTTCCTTATTTATTACCATGAAGAATTTTTCTGTCAAATTATTGGGTTCTCTTTTTTATGACACGAATTTTTCATATATTGAATTTTCTTTTGTTCTCCATATTTATTATCTTCTAATTGTTTTGATATGTCTTTTGCCTCTGCATTTACTGTAATCATCTCAAATCTTCCTTTTTGCCTGTAATTGTTTCCACCAACGTCTGTTGATGTTTTAAATGAATTAATTGATTAAGTAATGGTACATTGGCCCTAAGTATTATTTCTTCAGCATTATAAACTACCTTTTCATATTATTCTGTTTTATTTTGCTTTGGCGACTTTTTTTTTAAGCTCTTTCCTTTTTTTAAAAAAATAGTTTTATTTGTTTCTTTTTCGTCTTTTTAAAAATTTTTTATTTATTTATTGGCCACATCGTGCGGGATTTTAGTTCCCTGACGACGGATTGAACCTGGGCCACAGCAGTGAAAGCGCCAAGTCCTAACCACTGGACTGCCATGGAATTCCCTAGAGCTTGTTTTTAATTAAGATTATATTGTATTTATCTTTCTTATTATAAAGAAGCCCTTAGGAATTTTCTTTGGTTTCTTCAATTATGTTTCCTTCCAGAACAATTTCTTTGCCATCTGTATTCCCCATTCATTTGTTCATTTTATTCTATCCCTCCGTTTATCTGCTTTTTGCTTCTTTTAATCTGTAGTAACGTGCATAGTTTTTTCACCGTGTTTATGCTTGATGTAGGAGGCTCAGAGAACTGTCTGCTTAGATGTGGTGTTCATGAATTTTTTAAATACCCTACCCATGTTACCTAAACTTGTTTTTCTCTTGAGCCTTAGTTTGAAAGCTGGGTATAGCTGGAAGCGGGGATGGGGAAGCAGAGAGAAATGAAGTGATTGCGAGAGCCAGATGGGCAATATGATTTTTAGGCTCTGCTCTCCTACAATACCAAGTGTTCCCCTCGTGTATTAGCTCAAACTACTCATGACTAGATTTCCTGTACCTTTTGCAGGGACATCCTTGAGCTTCAGACTTCTCTCTTCATTTTGCTCTGAGTCCTAGAAAGTGACCCCCTCCCCTGAAAGTGTGGAGATGGTTAGAAAATTTTACCCTTGAAGTTTGTTTGTTGGCTTTTTCCTGTATTGCGTATTTCTCCCTCAGTTCTACTTCTCACCGTTTTGAAAGCTCTTTCTGATAAATATTAGGATTTTGTAAACTACTTATCTATAACCTCTTGTTGAGTATTGGGGTAGAATTAACAACTATCATACATCACATAGAACTTTGTGTTTTTTATTTTTACTATCATCCAAAAATTATGGCAGGAAGTTATATATTTGGTTGCTGCTGATAAAATTTGGCTTTCAAAATTTTATTTTGTTTATTTTTATTTTTTGTTTTGTTAGGTTTTGAAGAAGGGAGATTCTATAATTTAGCTCAGGGTTTTTTAACCTTGGTACAAATGACATTTTGGGTTGAATAATTCTTTATTTTAGGAGGCCATCTTGTGTATTGTAGGATGTTTAAGAGAATCCCTGGCTTCTACCTACTACATGCCAGTAGCATTCGTGTAGTTTAGATGACCAAAAATTTCTCCAGGCATTGCCAAATATTCCCTGGAGAGAAAAATTACCCTGGGTTTAGAATCACTAATTAACTTCATTCTCGCGTCTTTACTCCCCCTGTTAAACACCTGCATCCAAATTTTAAGTAGTTCTTTCTTTTGTAGTCTGGTAAGTAAGTATTAAGCCAAAGATACACATCAGATTTAGAATAAAAGCTCTAATACACTCTTACAGTTCAACTTAATGCTAGGCAAATGTTAACTATCGGACTTATAAGCGCTCCGAATAGTAATCAATGAATTTAAAAAAAGATTTATGTACAGTGCTGGTAATTTTACTGAGTGAAAAAAATTAATACTTTTTAAAAATAACTTATTGTTTGGAGTAATGATACTCACAATAGATTTACTTTTCTCCATTAATTAAAATCATGTTGTTAGCCAAGTAAGTGAAGAAAATTCTTATTGACAATTCAGTTGTTTCCTGTTTAGAAGACTGACACTCTCCAGTTCTAAGCTAAATAATTGTCATGGTAAAGTAATTTCCTTGAAAAGGACAGGCATTGATTCAGCCCCTGTTACTCACAAATCCTATTTCAGTCAAATTGGAAAACTATTAAGTTTTTGGGAAAAAAATCAATACATATCAGGAAACCATTAGATCTTGTGGCCCTTGCTATATCCTGCATGAGTAATCACTGTAAACTGCTGACAGGTATTTCATTGTTGACACAGAGTGATGCTTGGGAGACCACATCTCATCAGGGTAGGTGGACAGCTTTAGACATTGGAATGAGTTCAGTTATCCTTGTTTTTCCCCAGGACTCATCCTTTTAGACAGCTGTCACTAACTGGACCTGTGGTGCTTTGAAAAATCAAATTCTTTCTTTACTGTCAGTTTTCTTTTTTCTTGTGTTGTGGCATACCAAACAGGGTGTGTGGTTTGGTACTGAACCAGTTTCTGTCAAAAACAAGTTTTAATTTCTTATTTAGAAATGATTTTTCCTCAATTAAAAAAAATTTCCAAATTTTATATCAGTACTAATAAATAGTGTAAGGATTTATTAGTAAGGACATAGAGTGTATAATTTTACTTTTATTCCTCTGTAAAACTTACAAGTAAATTTTTAAAAATTAAAAAAAAATTTTGGACAAGTGATTTTGGATTTATCTATGTTTTGCTTTGCTTACTTTAGGGAGATAATTATTTGTGAACTGTATGATTATTATATTCAGGAGGGAGAAAATAAAAATAAGACCTGTGTGCACATAGCCATTCTGCCCAAATTATTTGATATTATTTATTGGCAAATTATTATGGCATTGGTGAAAGCTTGATATTGGCTTTGTATGTAATAAGAGTTGTTTTTTGTTGTTTATTGAAGTAGAGAGAGGGGAAGAAATGGGTATAAAATAGTAAATGGTTCTATCACTGTAATTTCCTTAAGAAGATTGAAAACCCATATTTAATTCATATATGTGTTTGCCTGCTAATTCCATTAGGGCAAATTAAAACATTATGGATAGAATTTTGTTTCCTAGTTTGAAGAAATATTTTTATTTGATGAATATTATCATATATTTTCAGGTGCTGTAGCTTCTATGTTTTGGGTTGATGCTGAATTAGGGGTTGATATTTATCTTGATGGTAAGTTTAGAAATGAATTTTTAAAAAAATTTTCAAGTAAAATGTTAATGTTATGGTTAAGATCATTTTTGTTTATTCATACTATACTTTTAATTCCTTGTACTGGTACTCTTTTTAAGCTTGTTTAGTTTGATGATGAAATAAGTCTTTGTTCATACTGATTCTAAAGCTCCAGACAGTAGTAGAACTAGATATCAATCATAATCTCAACTACCAGTTTAGTACTTCCATTAAGGTTTTCCTTTTAAAATACTATGTAGATTTTCTATATTCCCTGTTGTTTAACTTATGTGCTTAGTATATATTAAAGCTTTTTATTTTAAATAACATGTATAGTATGAGGATCAAATTTCTGCTTTCATTTTCCCTTAAAAATAAGAACGAAACAAAGCCCCCTACCCCTTGCTCTCTCTACCGTAACACTTTTGGGCAATCTTATTCTTAGACTTCATTTAAGACACATTAGAAACCTTCTGGATTAGGCAAATATGTTCCCTGCAACACCCCACACCTGATTCTTCACCTTTCTGTAGACCATATTTTTCATAGACTAAGGGGTGAACTTTAAGAATTTTTGAAGCTGGGCCCCATCATTTGGGCCTAATATATATAGAATGTAGCTGGTTAAATTCCTTAGGCGTCATCAAACCCATTCTGCTGTTGTCCTTCGAAAAAATTATTTAGCATATAAATTCAGAGACTGCCAAATGAATTGATCATTTGGAAACTTAGGTACACCTTAGATAAAACAGTTGTGTGAGTTAGATTGGTGAGAGATATTCTAAGATGCCTCAGATTTGTTAAGCAATAATTTAAATAAGAAAAGTCTCGATTTTGATTATGTGAAAATAAAGATAAACTGTCTTGTGTAATTTATCACATTCCACTTTATATTATGAAATATGTCTCATGTTTTGGATTGTAAGCTTTTTAAAGGCCAGAGAAATCTTATTTTCCTTTTTATTTGTTTGTTTAATTTTAAATATTTGTTTTTATTATGTCCCATCTAGTGCCTTAAAATAGTGCTAGGTTCATGTTTGAAATGCATCTGCTTACTAATGGAATTGAATTAAATTGCTGTGCTGGCAAGAGAAAAAAAACAGTATTTTATTGAGTGACATTTGTGAACTGAAATAGAGTAGTTTTAATTCTTAAATATAAAGATGATTAAAAGATTTATTCCTTTGTAGGTATCATAACTGTTGTGGATTCAAAATATGGATTAAATGTAAGTTGAAAGATTGCTATGAGTTACTAATTGTTAAGAGCTGGTTATATGGGGATTGATTATATTAGTTTTTCTATGTTTGTGTCTGTTTGAAATATCCTTAACAAAAAAATATTTTTCTACTGTAAATATAAAAGATAGTACTTTTTAAAGTGGCAGTAATGTTATCAGAAACTGTGTGTCTTAAGCCAGTGAGTTACATTTTTAATTTAATATATCATATTTTGGAAGTTTAAAAAGCATGCAGAATAATAAAGCAAATACTTATGGTAAAAAAAAAAAGTTTTTTTTTAAAGCATCCTGAACAATAGATGAAATTTGTCTGTGTCTTTTAATTATTATTTTGTGTTTCTAAGTTAAATGTTTATTTTCTGCTTCTCTGGCTTGATGTGATAAAAGTTTGAAGTGTAATATTTTGTAATAAGGGTAATAGAGGATAAAGTTTGGGTATGTGTAACCCCTCACTGGGATTCAGCCCCAATGTTGATAAGTTTTTCTGTTTGATAGAGGAAATTGAGCTTGATAAAGCATATGAGAGCTTATTTTTCTTGTTAAACTGCTGTCAGACACAAGCTGCAGATGATTGAGTTTTTAAAAAATATATTGCTTTCCCATATTTTGAAGAAATCAGGATTTATGCCTAGGTTTAGGGAGGAGAAACTCTCCTTTAAAAGGCATCTTGCTGTGAATGTTTTGCGACTAGCAAGGTCCTGAAATGCATTTAAATGAATTTCAGTTCACAAAATGCACTTAGTAAGATTTTAAAATTCATGTTGCCGCATAAAGTAAAGTGGTGTTTCTCAACTTTCCAAGTGAAAAATTACTAGAGGCAGAAGAGAGTGAAATTATCCTCCATCTCCTGACCCAGTCTGGCGATATGAATAGTGCCCAAAGTAATCATTTCTTAGAAGTTTAAATTTAATGTTTAAAAATTCATGTCCATTTTGTATTCTACCCGACAATATGTCTGAATTTCTTAATTTGAACAAGTTTGTTTTTCTTCCAAACCTTTAATTAGTATGGCAAGCTTGTCAAATGGTTACCAATACCCTTTCATTGGCCCTTCCGTTCCCTCAGGGATAGAGCACCCTGATTTGAGAAGTTTGGGAGATGATTCCTTTTTAGATTTTTAAGTCAAAATTTATTAATAGTCTTAAGAACCAAAGAAAGACCCCAGATATTACAGTTTTTACTCAGAAATATTCCAACTGTTCTGAAATCATATTTCTAGCAAAATGTTTACAAAGGAAGCAAAAAAAAAAGTCAAATTCTTCAGTCTGAATGTTTATTAAAGGGCATGTTTGAATCCATCTCCTATATAGATTTATTGCCAAATTTGGGATATCTTCAGGATGGATAGTAGGATCTTTTTTTTTTTTTTTTTTTTTTTTGCGGTACGCGGGGCTCTCACTGTTGTGGCCTCTCCCGTTGCGGAGCACAGGCTCCGGACGCACAGGCTCAGCGGCCATGGCCCACGGGCCCAGCCGCTCCGTGGTATGTGGGATCCTCCCGGACCGGGGCACGAACCCGCGTTCCCTGCATCGGCAGGCGGATTCTCAACCACTGCGCCACCAGGGAAGCCCAGATCTTTTTTTTTTTGATAGACTTATAGTACCAGACCCAAAATCAAACTCTGTGTATTTATGATTATGGGAATAATTTTATATGTATATTTGGATGTGGAAAGGAGTTAAATAGAATCTACCAGGAGTGTGATAGAGGCCAAAAAAAAAAACCAAAGCAACATTCTGAATAATGCAGACACAGCAAACGTTTAACCCCCTCCCACCTTGATAAAACATCTTAAATTATTAAATCAATATACGTACACAAAACTGACATACTGTCAGGATAATGGAAACTTTAGATTTTCTAAGTCAGGTGCCAAATAAATAACTTTTCCTTTATATAAAGGATTTGCCAACTTGTCTAATTCCTCTGGTTGCAAAGCTTGACCTCAGTAGCTGCTTGTGATTCAGAGAATTCTGAGACAGTACAAGTAATGACACTTGGATAATGGGCAGCAATTTAAGGGTGTCATGCTTCACAGAGCCAGCCCATCAGAAGTAAAGCTGAGAAATGGTACCTTGTGGCCAGCCAGCCAAATTGAAACTGAAGTGGTAATTGATATCATGGGCTATCACTCTAATGGGATTGTCACCCATTGATCTGAAATATTCATTTTTTAATCATGGGCAAAGAATTGGACAACTTCAAATGACAGCTCTCTATTCTCAGGACTTGACACCCAGGCTACTGACATTGTCCTTTTCAGTTCTACAAAAGTGACAGCATTTAATGCAATAGAATCAATGAATGAAGTTACACAGAAAAGGTCAAGTCAGAGGTTTCTTTCTGGTTCTTCTGTTATATTGTACAAGCTGTTGAAACAATTCAGTCAGAAAACAGTTTGGCTTGGAAAAGACCAGAAAATAAATAGACTGACATTATGCAATAATCTTTTCTTAAAAGCTAAAATAGTGTTAGATCTATAACCAATCCACTGGAAAGAAATAGCTGCTGCTTCTTTTTTTTAAAATGTCACTGACATCTTTGACACTAGATTTCTTTCCACTTTGGTCAACAACAGTGTTTTTTTCTTTCTTTCTTTCTTTCTTTCTTTCTTTCTTTCTTTTCTTTCTTTCTTCCTTCCTTCCTTCCTTCCTTCCTTCCTTCCTTTCTTCCTTTCTTCCTTCCTTTCTTTCTTTCTTTCTTTCTTTCTTTCTTTCTTTCTTTCTTTCTTTCTTTCTTTCTTTCTTTTTCCTTTCTTTCTTTCTCTTTTTTTCTTTCTTTCTTTCTTCCTTTCCAGCTTGTTTCTGTTTCTGCAGAAAAGCCCTTAATGAAGTTGTGTCATATGATGGTGTTATTTCAAAGGATTCCTTTCTTATGCTGTGCTAAGTTAGAGGGTGGAACCTTAAGCTTTTTGATACGTTGGATTAATTAGTACCAAAATTTTTCTGGTCTTTTTCTTGATGTATAAGCAAAAGCCACAGTCTCTAAGCAGAGATGAGGAATCTGTTGGGGATACACACACACACACACACACACACACACACACACACACACACACACACACACACACACACTATTTTGAAAAAAATTTTGCAAAAATTTTTCCTTCATTGCCTGTACAGGTAAAATAGAATGTCACAATTTCCATTTTTTCACTTTGTAAATGGGAGTCATCTGACTTAATGACTAATGGTGTATAATGTGCTACTGGAGAATGTCCTTTTGAATAGCAGACATTGGTTTTAGTCTTTTTGCAAAGTTTGATTTGGGAAGGTAAGAAGTTGCATAAGGGAAATGGGCTGATATCCAGAGAAAATAAATGTTCGTGTGCATTTATTATTTGTTTATGTTTGTATAGCCTTCATATGTGCATAGAACCAGGGACATTTATCTCCTGCTTTTTATATGTTTATTGCATATCATATTCTTAATAGAGTTGTACCTATTGACAGGTTTTTATTTTGGGGCCTTTTTTTTTTTTTTTTTTTGTGGTACGTGGGCCTCTCACTGTTGTGGCCTCTCCCGTTGCGGAGCACAGGCTCCGGATGCGCAGGCTCAGCGGCCATGGCTCACAGGCCCAGCCGCTCTGCAGCATGTGGGATCTTCCCAGACCGGGGCACGAACCCACGTCCCCTGCATCGGCAGGCGGACTCTCAACCACTGCGCCACCAGGGAAGCCCTATTTTGGGGACTTTTAACGTGTTTTTATATTTGATATTTCTTGACTTCCTAGAGGTCATGAAATGTTAGTCCATCCCTGTTATCTTTGAGTGAAAATTTCTAATCTTCTGGAGATTAGATTAGATGCATTAAAAACATGAGTTACTTTGTGAAAATATTAATACTATTTTATTAGTTACATTTAGGTATGGATATTCAAAAACAAATCTCTAATTTTCTTACCATATCTTTTTACACACCTCCAGCTCACAGGCAAAAAGTCCCAAGTTCATATATAAATAAATCTTCTAAAAGGTCAAAAATACAATATTTTGCAAATATTTCAAAAATTTAAAAGAACTTCAATATTATAGGATCATTCAGAGAGAGATACCTTGCTAAAAATACATCTTTACTAAACAGATTTACTGTTGAAAAGAAAGGGAGTTGTTGCTGCACGTTATGTAGAATTTTTCAGATAACAACATCCCATGTATCTATGTCAACAAATAGGAGGTGTTAACTAGAATTCATTCAATAAGTATTTGTTGAACCTGGGTGCCAGGTACTATTCCTGGGATGGTAATAGCCCTTATTCTCTAGAGGACATAATGAAAGGATTTGTTATAGCCTCAGGCCAACAATAATTAGCAAAAATAGTAAACTTGGTCTTTTGACAAGAAACAATTTTTAATACAATATTCTTCAAGTTCTGTGATTTCCATAATTTCAGAGTGGGTCTGCAGTTGAATTTATAAGGTTGTACCTAAAGTGGATGGAGATCAGTACACATTACTCTAGTTTTAGTTTAGGCTAGCTTCCACAAAAATAGAATTTGGCAAACTTTTAGAAGAAAAAAGGTTTTCTCTATGGATTTTACCAAGACTATTAAATAAAATGATTACCAACTTGCTTTTAGGTCCCAAACTATCCAAATACCTTAATGATCTACCTCTTCATGAATTGTAAAACTGATTTGATGAAATAATTTTGAATATAATTTTTAGGTAATCTTTATGCATATACTTTTATGCAGTTATTAACATTTGTGTAACGCTGTTTGCAAGACTGATTTTATATGACATAAAAAACTCTCAGGGCTTCCCTGGTGGCGCAGTGGTTGAGAGTCTGCCTGCCGATGCAGGGGACATGGGTTCGTGCCCCAGTCCGGGAAGATGCCACGTGCCACGGAACGGCTGGGCCCGTGAGCCATGGCCGCTGAGCCTGCGTGTCCGGAGCCTGTGCTCCGCAACGGGAGAGGCCACAACAGTGAGAGGCCTGCATACCGCAAAAAAAAAAAAAAAAAAAAAAACTTTCACAAAGATTTAAAAATTATATTCATTTTCTTCTATTGAGCCCATTTTCATTTTTGAAAAATCACCCTATGGTAAGGTATCCCGTGACGGTGACAGTGTTAGATTCAGCTTCTTTTTTATAAATTGAGAATAGCCATTTCCCATAATTGTTATGAAGGCTAAATGAGATAATATTTGTAAAAGGATTTAATAATTTGTGGAGTTCAATTCAAATACAAAAAGTATTGTATAATCAAATCGCCTCTGACATCAGTAGGCAGTTTTTTATTGTGACAGGAAACATCTATTGAGGGTTAAGGTAATGAAGGTGGAACATTTTTCAGAGAAGAACCTTATGACATTGGTGACTTTAGGGATATAAATAGGATTATGGAAAAATAATAACTACTTCCAGAGAGATCAAAATGACCTCGTGGGCTTCTAAGTCAACATCAAAGTATTTTTTGGCACTAGCTTGACTCTGGCAGGGTGCAAACTAAACAGTTGCCCAGAGAGGCCAAATCATTCAAGTGTGGGTTTCAAAATGATAACCTGCTTTATGCTGGGTATAGGGCTGTGTCCTTCCCACAGCTAATTTGTTTCTAGGGAATTGGAAGGGCCCAGTATGAGTTCATAGTGTGTATGGTTCTGCGGTGGGGGCTGGGGGGTGGGGTAGGATGAAGGAAAGTCTAGTAGAATTTTTAAGAGTACAATTTCAGTGGTTATCTCTTTTTTAAAAATAAGTAATAATGAATATTTAGAACAAAGACAGTTTTGTAAAATGGAAATTGCCTAGAATCTGAACTATAATGTGCTGTGTTTTTATGACATTATTTAAATCTGGAGGGTTTTCCATTTACGAAAAAGAAGAGGTCAGGGGACAAAGTTTAAACCCTCACACTTCACAGGTTCACTGTAGGGAA